TGGCCGCCGCCGCCGCCAGCACAAGCGCCAGCAAGGGCAGCAGGAGCCCCGGCCCCGCGAGCAGGAGGGCGAGGCCCCCCGGGGAAGACGCGCTCAGGGCCCAGGCCACTCGACTCCCCGCTGTCACCGGACCCGGCGCAGTCCCATGGCCACGCTGCCACGCGCCCTTCGCCCTACTCCGCGCCCCCCGGTTGCCCCGCGGCGGCGGAGGCAGCGCGAACCCGCCGCCCAAGCCCTGAAGCGACGCGGTGGCGGAAGCTGGCAAAGCCCCTCCTGCCAGCGCCGCCGAGCCCTGGGAGCGTACGTGACGTCACCCGGCGCGTGCGCAGTAGCCGGACACCGGCCGGGCAGGTTCGGGCCAGCGGGGCCTCGCGGAGGGGTTTGTGGGAAATGTGAGGCGAGAGCCCTTGGCAGCGGCAGCGGAAGGGGCTTCGTCCGGCCGCCATCTTTGCGGTGGGAGTTGCTGAAAACCGACCACTCCGTTGCTTGGCAAGGACTTCCCAGCCTGAATTTACTTGCTGTTATTACACTGAAAAAGAGCCTTTGAAAGTTTTGCTGCGACCTCGTATATGCTTTCGGAAGACTTAGTGTGGAACATGTCCATATGTTCAGTTTGCACAGTGGCTTTCTCCTGGGAGCTTTCTCGACCATGTCTCTTCCCTTCCTCCCCCGCTAGTGCGTTTTTGGTTGTATCTTAGGAGCCACGTCTCGGAAATGAACGAATTGCCCTTCTCTTGGACGTTTTGGATGAGCTGCACTGATATAAGTGAAGGGAAATCAAGAAGAGAAATGTTGACTCCAATTCTGAAGTACAATAATTGAGAGGGATGGTTCTGATCGGTTGCACTTAACAAAGTTGTGAGCTCGGGACTGTGTAGGGACCTAGTGGAAATCAGCCTTGTGCCCGACGAGGCGGAGGTGCTGGGTGAACTGGGTGTGCACGTGTCCAAGAAAGTTGGATGAGCTGGTTTTTGTTTTTGTTTTGCTGTGACCGATGAACCCAGGGAAAGCACATAATTCATTTTCACGCGAAGGCAGTGATGTAGTTTATGATCTGGCCCCACTCCATCCTCTTGCTTCAAGAAGCTGCAAGAAAGCTTCCCACATACATTTTACTTACGTAAGATTATACATACTGACCTTTGGCATGCTGACAAGCATCCCCCTCTGTAGTAACCTGTTTTTCAGGAAATCCAGTTTTTGTTTGTGAATGTTGATGCACTATTGTACAAAAAGATGTAAACTTTTTGGAGCATTTTGGTAAATAGCATTGTTGTAAGTATGGAAGTTATGTAACATCCTTAATATGTTTAGTATAAATTTAAGTTATGGTGCTTATTAATAAAATGTTCATCCATGAACACACTCAAGAACTAGAACACTATACGTATGATTGTGTCTATTGGTTTTCTTGCTCACTTTATCTACATGCTAAATATATTCCCAATTTTTATTTACTGTTTCTTATTTACTGATTTGCACCTATTATTCTTTATCCATTTGTGTATCCCTAAATAACATATTCTTCAGTTTTACTCGAGTTTTATAAAAACACTGCTCTTGGTAATCGTTTTTTACATAAGGTGTATTCATTTTCATGACTTACAGAGTTCCATTATGGGAATATACCACAAATTTATCATTTCAGTGGACATTTGGGTTGTCTCCAATTTTTTGTTATTAATGAATAATTGTGCAATATTTTTATACATTCTGGTGACATGTACAGGATTTAGTATGAGAGGATTTCAAAGTTTATGACCACTGACCTTAGTATAAGGATAAAACACAGTGCAGTTTGTGTTTTCTTTTTCTTTTTTTTAATTTTTAAAAATTTACAGCAGTTTGTGTTTTGAATCAGTAAACCCATTCACCTATTTTTAAAAAGAATTATTTATTTAATTTTACATATTATCATTGAAAAATATGCTATAGGGCATTTCTGCTCACCAGAGAGAGAGAGAGAAAGAGAGAGAGAAACTGTGAAAGCAAGGAGCTGTGTCCAGACCCAAACCACTGGTCAGCCATGTGGGAGTCCAGCACCCCAACCACCACACCACATGCTGACCCACATTCACCTATTCAAACAGAAGTTTCTCAAAGTAATAAAACAATATTTCTCCAATGTTTAGGAAGATACTAATTGTGACTCTCAGTAGATGGATTACAGAAGTCCCTAGTGAGTAGTGTCTCAAAGTTTAAAAAGCACTACAGGTATAGACTACCTGTGAATGGAATTGTTGACTAACAGGGAATGTTAACATTTACTTTATAAGGTAATGCCAAATTATTTCTCAAAGAGATTGTTAATAATGTACATGCCCACTAGCAATATGGAGGAGGTGGTGTTCTTTTGTTTTGTTTTGAAATCTGTTGGCATTAACCCTTGGTATTGTCATATTAATTTTTCTAATTTGGTGAATGTAAATGGTGCCTCAGAGAGGTCTTAGTCTGCTTTTTATTTTTTTTAAGAGATTTTTGCTATAGGGCACATGTGCTCGCTGGAGAGATAAAGATAGTGAAAAATCACCCCACAGGGGGGATGACCATGATGCAACCCCTTCTCCTCAATTCTCCTGTCGGAATTTTGGGCACACATGCACATGTTACTGACTTGAGTTTCAAGCCACTGGGCCCAGGACTCAAACCGCACTTAACTATGTAGGAGGTCAGTGCCTTCACCACCACACACCTGCTGGCCCCATTAGTCTGCATATTTTGAAATAGCAAATGATTGTTAGAGAAATGCAAATCAAAACCAAAATGATATATCATCTCACACGCATTAAAATGGCTGCTATTAAAAAACCAGAAAATAGCAAGTGATGGTGAGGACATGGATAAACTGAAATCCTTGTGCTCTGCGGGAGGAATTATAAAATGCTGCAACTATTATAGAAGATGGTAAGAGGAGGATACTTTCTCAATACGTTTTAAAATAGAGCTATTGGGGGGCCAGCAGGTGGCATGGTGGTTGAAGCACTAGACTCCCACATGGCTGACTGTGGTTTGAGTTCCACACCTGGCAACTTGCTTTCTCACTTTTCCCTCTCTTTCTGGTCAAATTAAAAAATAATAAGATGCAATACTAATAAAAATTTAAAATAATAAAAATATTTTTAAAAATATTTAATTTTATTTATTCACTCATGTTTTTAAAAAAATTTGACCGGGGGGGGGAGAGGAGGAGGAGGAGGAGAGAGAGAGAGAGAGAGAGAGAGAGAGAGAGAGGAAAA